AAGAAAATATCTGCAAATCATATCTCTGATAAAGGACTTGTATCCAGACTGTATAAAGAATTCTTACAACTCAACAACAACAACAAAAAAATTTAAAAACAGGCATAGGACTTGAATATACATTTCTCCAAAGAAGATACTATAGACAGCCAATAAGCACATGAAAAGATACTCAACATAATTAGTTATTAGGAAGATGCCAATAAAAACCACAATGAGATACTACATCACACCCACTAATATGGCTATAATCAAAAAGATGAACAACAAGCATTGACAAGAATGTAGAGAAACTACAATCCCCATGTATTACTGATGGGAATGGAAAATGGTGTAGGCACTTCAGAAAGTAATTTGGCAATTCCTCAAAAAGTAAAACACACAGTTATCACATAACCTAGCAGCTATTTCACTCCCATGTATATATCCAAGAGAACTGAAAACATATGTGCATGTAAAAACTTTTACATAAATGTTCACAGCAGCATTTTTAATATACAAAAACAAGAAATATACCAAATGTTCACCAACTGATGTGGTGATATAAAGAAAATGTGGTATATCCACACAATGGAATATACGTGGCAACAGTAAGAAATGATGTACTAACATATGCTACAACATGGATGAACCTTGAAAAGGTTCTAAACACGGAAAGACACACATTTTAAGATATCAGTTATATGATACATCCAGAATACGCAAATCCATAGAGACATAAAGTAGATCAATGGTTGTTAGCATCTAGAGGGAGCAAGGAATGAAGATTGACTGTCAATCAGTATAGAGTTTCTTTTTGGGTGATGAAATGTTGTATAATTAAAGAGTGATGGTAGTTGCACAACAATGTGCATATACTAAAAACCTCTGCATTGTACATTTTAAAGGGTAAATTTTATGATATACGAATTTTATCTCAATAAAGCTATTATAAAAAAAGATATGAAAAAATATAATAGTTGCTCAAGGAAAGGAATCTAATGTATTTTAACTACTTAGATCTCCAACTTACCCTGCAGAAACAAAGGGGAATCATACAATGTCAGTAAACCTATATGATTGTACATCCGTTAAAATTATATTGATTATGTATCCATTAAAATTTATTAAGAAGAATGTTTAAAAGCACTTATTTGTGCAAACAGCTTCACGTTTGATCCCACAACCTTATGAGGCATGCACTATCTTGAGAGACAACACAGCACAGTGGTTAAGAGTACAGGCTGGAATCAGACCGCCTGGGTTCACATCCCACCTTTGCCACAACTGTAAAATGGAACTACTAATTAAATACGTAAGCACTTAGCACCCTGCCTAGCATACACAAAGTTCTATTTAAGTGTTGAGGATGATTGTGTCAGTGAAACTATTAACCTTGTCCCCAAATAAGAAAAATGAGAGTTAGAGAGAGTAAGTATATTGCTCAAAGTCACACAAATAATAATGGGCAGAGCAGAGAGCTGACACTCAAAACCAGGTCTGAATGACTGTAAAGCACATGCTAGAAAACTTTGCTAGAATTAGATTACCTCTGTTTGGGTCTATATTTTCCAAACTTTCTACAATGAACCTATATTACTCTTAAAAATAGGGGGAAAACATATTTCAAGTTACAGCATTTAAAATATTATACTTACTCAGAGGCTAAAATTCCACCAGCCTCAATTCTGAAAGACCAGTCATGAATATGAGCAGTCAAAAACAGCTGTCAAAAGGCCCACGTACTTGTTTTCTTTCAAAGGTGAGATCCTCAATATATCAATATCAAAAATTTAGAAAAAGTAGTATTTTTTTTATCAAAGCTATTTGTATACCAATGGTGACTTCTGAAAATAAACGTAATATATCCAATCAGAAAAGCTTTCATTAAATATCCAATCAGAAAAGCTTTTCATTAAGCAAAGAAATACAGAAATCAACATAAACACCTGATCAAATGCCTGAGTATTATTTGTGTGAATATGAAGTTACCAATTTTAACATAAGAAAATGTTATATTCAATGAAACCACATTCACCTGACAAAACAGTGGTGAAGTGAAGATGCGCATCTGTTGCCATTTTTTCACTTCAATTCATAGGGGTGGGGAACCTGCGGCCTTGAGGCCACTTGGGGCAACATGTGGCTTTCTAGATCCTTGACGGCAGCCTTTTGACTGAATCCAAATTTTACAGAACAAATCCTTTTATTAAAAGGGGTGCAACAGAGAAAGATGAAGCTTTTCTTGCCTCCTTTGGTACTTGAAAAAGAACATTCTTGAAATCAGAAGGCCATAGGTCTCCCACCCCTGGGTGAAGCAAATGTAAGAAGAAATGTCATTCTTGTGACTACATTGTGTTACACAGGACTGCCTTAGCAGACTGTAGCAAAAGATGCTCTCCAGCCTTGAAGAGGCAAACTGCCAAGTTGTAACTGCCTGTGGAAAAGGCCAGTGGCAAGGAACTCAAGGAACTGCAGGCATCTTCTAGGACCTGAGGCCAGCCTTCGGTAAGAGGCTGTGGTGGGTGTGGGGTGGGAGTTGTCGGGTGGGGCTCAGTCATACAGCAGCAAGGAAATAAATTCTGCCAACAACCTGAGTGTACCTGGAAGTGGATTTTTACCAAGTTGAGCCTCCAGATGAGAATGCAGCCTGGCCAATAACTTGATTACAGCATTGCAAGATCCTAAGCAGAGAACCTAGCCAAGCCATGTCCAAACTGGTAACTCATAGACACTACGAAAGAGTAAATGTGAAATTGTTTTAAACCACTAAATTTGTGGTAATTTGTTACATAGGAAACTAGTAAACTGGCCAATCAGAAATGAGAAAATATCCTGATTTTTCTATTCTTTTCTGTGTTTCTTCACAGGCTCTATTAGCTCTGAAGGGAGCTCCCTTCTCACATACAACTTAATCGAGGACCTCCACCCAGTTCTATCCCAGTCCTCTTACCTTTCTATTAGATACCCTCTCCTTTGATCCAGTAATTGTTCGGGGGCACCTACCACATACCAGGCACTGGCTAGGCATTGGAGATACAACAGTGAACAAGTCTAATACAGTGCCAGCTCTCATGAAGCTACTTTCTAGATCACCAAGGGGCAAGTCACATCCTCAGTGATCTCACATATTCCCTTTAGCAAAGTTATGAATGTACTGGACACACAAAACACACTGTGAAAATGAGTCCCAAATCAATGATTCGCACCTTTCCTCCAAACACAAGCTGCTCATTTCTAACTGCCTACTGTATAAATCTCCCAAATATCTCAAAACAGTGTATCAAAATACAGCTTATCATGTAAACCCCCAAATCACTAGTTCTTGATATATTAATATAACTGGCTGACTCAGTAAATATCTGCTGAATTAAGCTGAACTTACAGAATTACCATCCCTCTAGCTGGCTCCAACTTAAAACCTTAGCATCATCCTATGTTCCCTTTTGTCTCTTAGTCAATCAGATATCAGAGTCTATTAATTTTAAAAAATGTTTCCCTAAAAATCTCTCCCATCTGTCCACTCTTCTCCATCTCTACTAAAAATATTTTTGTTCATGCTCTCATTATTTCTCCTGCTTGGTCTCCCATTCACTCATTCACTCACTCACTTCATCATCCATCTATTAATTTAACAAATATTTTGAAAGTATCTGCCAAGAGCCAGGCACCAGATATACCAAGAAAGTAGAATAGTCTATGCCCTCACAGAATTTGGAGTTTTTCAGAGGACCACAATTAAACAAGTAATTACAACAAAAGGGTAACGTGGGAAGTAAATTCCATGTGCCATGGAAGTATTTAACTTACTCTACACGGTCAGAAAAGGCCATCTCCTCTCCCTAATTCCCAAAAATGTTTAAGCTGAGAGCTAAAGTAGGAATAAAAATTAGAAATGGGGGAAAGAACATTCCAGGCAAGGGAAAATGCATCCACAAAGAGTTCGAGAAGTTCAGTTTGATTAACAAAGATTTGAAAGGGTAAGAGGCAAAAGAGGATAGAAAGAAAGGTAGAGGGCAGATAATGGTCTTGTGAGTCAGAGCAATTTCAACACCATCCTAAAGACCATAGAAAACCACTTAAGAAATTTAAGCAGGGAGAGTTATGATGAGGTTTAGCAAATCCACTCTGATTAGTGTGGAAAACTGATCAAAGGGAAACAGAACTTTTTCCAGTGTCCTTTCCATCAGTCTTATCCAGAAATATGGATAGAGTGTAGGTCTCAACCCTTTACTAACTTCCTCTAAAGATCTGAATGGCTCCCTACTGTACAGAGGAATCCAACTTAGCTTGACATTCAGATTCTCTCCCATATGTGATGCCCGGCTGACCTTCCCTTGCAGTCTTTTCTCCTCTCACATCCTCCACACATCCTAAAACTAAGCTCTCGCCTTCACGTACAGATACGACCACTCTTCCCTCTGCTTGGAACACCCTGCAGACTTTCACTCCCTCCTATATCGAGTTAACTCCAAGACTCCTCAAAACACATTCCGGCGGCCTCTGCTGAGAAACCCCTCTCTGATACCCATCCATCGATTTCAATGACCCGGTCCCTACGTACCCTGGATAGTTTGTCTCACTCCTGCTGGACGGTAAACTCCTTGAGAGCTACAACCGAGTACCCTCAATTTCTAGTTCTGTGCAAAAGGGCCCAAAAGCGGTGCGCACGCGCACACTCAGGGTGTTCTTGGGGCGCGCTTAGTCACAAACATAGCCAGACACGCATCCCGACACGCACATACACTCTCAAAACACACAGAGCCGAGGCTGCGCTTTCTCTAGTAAGGACTTCCCGATACTGGCGCCTGGATCCCCAGGGAACAGAAAGAGAGATGCCACCACCGTTCTCCCCGCCCCAGATGTAGCCCGGTGCCCAAAGCTCTGTGGGGCTGCGGGCTGCAGGCCTTCGCTCCATCATCTCAACCTGCCTTGCCGTTTCCCGACTGCCGCCCTCACCGCGACTAAAACTTCAGGTTCTGGAACTGCGGAGCGCGCCACAGGTTCACGCAGCCGGGGACTTCCGGGCTGTTGCCTGGGTTACCAGAACCCCGCCCCATGCCCTTGCGTATATCCGGTGAGCCCAGTGCGCAGGCGCCTCCCAAAGCTTGGCAGGGCAACGATGGCTTTCTTTCCGCAATCCATTGGAGGACAGTAATGCAGCATTAGCCAGTGCCTCGAAAATTCTCCGAGAGAAAGATGTTGCTCCCCACACCAGGCTTCACATATCACACTTATTTGCTTTCACCTCTGTTCATTTATTCAAAAATGTTTATACCACCTACAAATGTGCCAGAGACTATGCTAGGTTCAATGGGCACTAAAAATAAGGTCCTTGCCCTCAGGAAACTTACCACAAAGTAGCAGACAGCTGTCAATGACACAAACGTAAAATTAAAACTGTCACAAGTGCTAAGAATGAAGCATACTAACTAGTTACTAAGCTGATTATTATAGGAATATTTCAATTACCCAGAAAAGCTGAGATGCAAGGATGAGTAGGCCACTAGAGAAGGGAAGAGAATTCCTGCAGGCGGAGCTGCATGTGCAAAGACATAGGGCAAATGGAAAAAACAGGAAGAAGTCTGGTATGTCTGGAGTTCAGAGAACAGTGGGAGCGTGGTGTGAGGGGAGGCTGCCCTGGTAGCCAGAACAGGCAGAGCTGTGTAGACCACATTAAGGACTTTACAAAGCACTTCATTCAAAAACAGGGTTATTTTGCTCCAATAAGACAATTTCCTTTAGCCTCTGGCTTTCTACTGTTAAGACAGAAAGCGGATAAGTGGATCTGCAAATACATATTCAACACCTTCTAGATGCAAGGAACTACCTTCTAATAGTTTCCACTTTGAGGAAGTTTGATGTAGGTATATTGAATGGTCAATCAATATAATCATTTACTTGCTTACATTCTCAACTCCCTGCCCCTCTCTGAGTTGCTGTAATCACTTGACAAAACTCAAATATTGGCCATCTCAACTTTACACTTACTAAGTGCTTGCACCCTTGCTGCTGAACCTGGTAGGAAAGAAAAAACCATGCCGACTTTAAATTCATGATCACTAATGTTAAGTGGACCCTTAAAGATGCTTGAACATCCTGTAACATATCCTTGTTCCATTGATTCTTCTACCCTTCTAGATGTCAGTTTTATACCTTCTCTCATACCCAAAATCTCTTCCCCATCCTCAGTCTAAGCCAATGATCTTGCTTCCTGCTGCATTGATAACATTGAATTAATCAAAAGAGAACTTCCTATCACTACTTCAATCTTTCTATCAGCATCATTACTCACAGACCTGCCTTCAGAATTTCAAAGAAACCTGAGCACAAGAAACATGAAGCAAACTACATCAAGGTACATCATAATCAAATTGCTCAGAACCAGTGATAAAGAAAATAATCTTAAAAGTAACCAAAGAAAAAAGACATGTTATGTATAAAGGAACAAAGACAAGGATAACATCAGTTTCTCATTAGAAACAAAGCAAGCAAGAAGACAGAATAATAGTTTAAACATATTGAAAGAAAAAAAAACTGTCAACCTAAAATTCTATACCTGGCAAAATTATGTTGTAAAAGTGTGAGTGAAATAAGCATGTTTCCACCCATATAGAAATGGATAGAATTTATCACCAGAAGACCCTCACTACATATATATGTGGGTATATATATATGTACATATGCATGTGTATGTATGTATATATATAAACATCTCAATAGATCCAGAAAAAGCATTTGACAAAATTCAATATCTATTCTTAATAAAAACTCTCAGTTAACTAGAAATAGGAAGGGACTTTCTCAACCTGATTAAGTACATCTACAAAAGACCTACCTCCAACATCGTACATAATGGTGAAAGACCAGATGCTTTCCTCCTTAGATCAGGAAAGACAAGGATGTCCACCACATTTACGTAACATTGTACTGGAGGTTATAGTCAATGCCACCAGGCAGGAAAAATAAATAAAAGGCATTCCAATGACATAGGAAAAAATAAAATTGTCTTTATTCCCAGATGACATGAATGTCTATGTAGAAAGAAAGAATCTGAAAAGAAAGAAAGAAAAGAAAGAAAGATGCCATTAAAACTAATAAGTGAATTTAGCTAAGTTGTCTTGCTGCTGCCCAAGACCACACTTCTGTCTGTAAGTTCCCCAATAAATAGCCTTTTACCAACAAACTGGATTCGTCTGCCTCATTCTTTGCTTTCTCAACTTCTTCTGTGTTTGGGAATTGCTTTGCATATGCAGCCCTTTCACAAAACAGCCAAACACTGGAAAGAACATAAATATCCATCAACAGATGATTGGAAAAATACATTCTTGTATATCTATACAATGCAACACTATTCAGTATTAACAAAAACTAATAAATTATTGATACACACAGCAACATGGACAAATCTCAAAATAATTATCCTGAGTTAAAGAAGCCAAACAAAAAAAGAGTACATACTGTGAGTACATTTATATAAAACTCTATAAAATGAAAACTAATTATTGTAACAGCAGATGATGGTTGCTTGGGAATGGAAAAGGAGCAGAGAGGGATAAGAGATAGATTTAAAGTAGGAAGGAAAGTTTGAAGGGTGATGGATATTCATTATCTTGATCACGTTTATGGTTTCAGAAGTGTGTGTATGTGTATAACAGATGATTTTTTGTGTATGTGAAAATTTATTAAATTGTATAATTTACATATGTGAAGTTTATTTTATGTCATTTATACCTTAAGAAAAGGGCAGGCACAGTGCTTCATGCCTGTAATCCTAGCACTTTGGGAGGCCAAGGTGGGAGGTTTGCTTGAGGCCAGGAGTTCAAGACCAGGCTGGGCAACATAGCAAGACCCTGTCTCTACAAAAAAATAGAAAAATTAGGCAGGCATGGTGGCATGCACCTGTAGTCTAAGCTACTCAGGAGGCTAAGGCAGAAAGATTGCTTGAGCCCAGGAGTTTGAGGTTATAGTGAGCTATGATGATGCCACTGCACTGCAGCGTGGGAAACAGAGCTAGACCCTGTATCAAAAAAAAAAAAGGTTATTTATTTGGCTTTCTCTGGTTACTCCAGATATGATCCAAATATGCTCCCCCAAACCATAAGATGTCCAGCTGCTAGTTGGTCCACCTCTAGCTTCCCACTCCCCTAATCAGAGTAGTCCTGAAGGCTTCCCTTTATTTCACTATAAGGCTTTCCCACTCTCCACCCTGTCTTTGAATCTCTGCCAAAAGCAAGTGATGGTGACATAATCCCTTGTTATATCAATCTCTGAATGAATGGCCTCTATTTATTCTCATTTAAGTGGTTTTAATTTATATGTATGTGTATGTGTGTGTGTGTGTATAGTTTTACTACAATTTTTATTATATTGGGAAGATTGATCTTGAGTACCACTATGAGAAGAATCATACGTTTTATATTTTCTGATTTTCAGATATAATGATATCTAAACTGGGATGTTTAAGTCATATGAATCTCTAGTTGGTTGTTCTGAGGCAAAAAATATAGGGAAGCTGACAGCCATGACAAATACCTGATCATTTGGGGCTGATTGTTGCAGAGGTTGTAGGTCAAGTTCTACTGTCACATATGGTCTGCCATTGTCCTTTGAATACTCAGTCTCTCAGTCCCTTCTTTTGGTCATTCTCTCACTTGCAGGACTTTGACCAATTCAGGGAAGGCTAGATATCCACATCTTCACCACTTGGGGATTCTCCAGTTATCTCCATAGTCAACTTTATTGCAAGATCTTCTTGACCTTTTTGTTGTGTCACCATCATGATCATCTGATCAGACAGTAGCTGAACTAACACGTTTAAGACTTTATATAAAATGCAATGAACCAATGTCATGATGACCATGACATAAATAATAATAATTAATAGTCCCTGTAAGATGCTTCAGATTGAGGAACTTCAATTGCCCAACCCAGGCCAAAAGAATAAGTCCCAAACGGCATGAGATCAACTAAGAAAGCCAATTAGCCATTTCATTAAGACATTGCATAGCCTGTTGCACCTTGCCTATTTCACTGATCCAAGTACAGCAAGAAGTATTAGCAATGGCACAGACACTGCCATGACTAGCAAACAAGAAATCAAGAGTAATGAAATTGTCCATCACTGCTCATACCAATGAATGGAGATTGATCTGTATTCCCTCTAGGGCTAAGGTAGTATCATTAATAACTTCTGCCAAAGTTAATGATAAGTTTCTTACAGTCTTTTTCTATTTGTATGATTCCCACCATTGAGAAAACTGCTCTGATTGTTCATATAAACAATGAGTCAGCAATTCCCCCAGATAGTTACTTGAATAATCAAGGATGGCCTCCTTTCGGAGCTTGTATTTGAGTCAGAATTTCCATCTTTGGTGGTTTACAGAATTAGAGTATGCAGACAAGAATACTATTACTAAACCATATGAAATATTAGTCTGAGGCAAAAAGGACCATGTGTCCTGACTGCAAAGGAAGCAGTAACCTGCAGGGGCACATGGAGATTCAAGATAAAGGATATTCATGACAGGAAGTCAGAACCAAGGCCTTATGCTAGCTGGGTTACATATTTGGATTTCTATTAGTCTTTTCTAGGTGACAAGTATTTGGCTCAACAACCTTGAAAGGTTGTTGAATTCAGAATTATTAATACTTGGGATCTGATGAATAGATTTTAATAATTAGTTCTTTTTCTGGAAGAAGAGAAACTAGCAACGTCACAGATTAATGTCTTTAAAGTCATTTGTCTTTAAAGTCACTTAGGGGCAAGTGAAACCTCCATTGGCTATAAGTCCCTGTGGTCTCATTTGATGAAACTGGAATCACCTACAGGTTTTTATCATGGGGTTCCAATGATGGACGGCATATCCAACAGTCAGTAAGATTGATGGCAGTGGCTACTGTTTGGAATAATCTAAG